TAGCACCGCAGCCTCGAGCGGTCGCCAAATCCTCCGACCACGACCCCTCCGCTCCATGCCTCCGCCCTCCGTGATAGACTAACAGCGTGCCTCCGCCCTCCGTTTCTCCTCCGTGATAGATTAACAGCGTGCTCGTGTGGTGGTGCCCCTCCAGATTCCGATTTTCCTACCTCCCCATCGACCGGAGACTTGGGCCCCGGGCTAGGAAGCTAGTGTGCCAGCAGATAGCACGTGCGCAGGTCGCCCCTATTGGCTAGCCCCATGCCCTCGCCCCCTGCTGGATTGTTGCACAGCACGGCCAGAGACCACAGTGAGTCACTAAGTAATTGACGGTTGATTTCTTATTTTCATTCATCATGGTTTTTTCGATAAATGCCAATGTCGGCCTAGAGACCACAGCGAGTCACTAAGTAATTGACGGTTGATTTCTCATTTTCATTCATCATATTTTTTTCGATAAATGCCAATGTCTAGATTTTAGTAGTTGCATGGGTTAAATGAATGCAACAGTGCAAAGTACGAGTTTGATGTAAAACAAGGTTTCAGTAAACTGCCTCTTAAACCATGTCCCTTCAGTGCGCATTGTTCTCGTTCGAGGCATTGGCTTACTATATACCGAATTAATGTCTTGAAGCCAGATATTTTTTTTACATGTCGTCGCAAAATCTGACTGCATTTCATTAGTATTGTTTGTTATATCTATTATATGTTTTAGTATACCACCACTAAAATTTCTAGCCTTCAATTATTAGCGCCCTTTTTTCTCATTTCTGGTCCGCCACTAAATTTGTGCCGCTACGTTTGGAGGGTTTCGGGGATTGCACTGAGCTCATACCAGTTTTCACCCAGTGCCTTGTGAGAGTTCAGCAGCGGTAGCAGCATCAGAAGGAGTTGGTTCTCTTGACATAGCACCTGATGAAGGAGTCGGAGCACGTGAAAGTTTGTGCCCCACTAGCAGTGTTTCCAGTAGCTGACATGTTTATCACTACAATAAAGGGAACAAAACAGAAGGAAGTGTTAACCACTTGATTCAAGCATTGCACAACTGCATGATATAGGGAACTAAAGATTAATGGGGGAGTACCATACCAGAGTTGAAACCTTGAAGAGGTTAGTGCAGTCTGTCTGTTCCCGCTCGTCGTGCAGCCGGATGCGCCAGTCCGGCGACCTTCGCCTATCGGCGTCTACCTGCGCAGGGCCCTGCAGGCGTCGGCGCGTGGCTCCTCCGGGGTGTCGGGCTGCCAGCGCGGGCGCGCGGCTCCTACGGCCTGCGGGGTGCCGGCGCTCGTGCAAGTCAGCGCTACTGCAGACGTGCTCTCGAGGCCTCGAGCGGTGGTTGGGGCCTCAGACTCGGAGGACGGGGCGTCAAGCGGCGGGCTGGCAGCGCTCAGCGGCCGTGCGCAGGTGCGGCCGATAGCGCCGTGGCGGCGGCGGCCGGTGGCTAGAGTAGAGACGCGAGGGGAGAGGACAATAGGATAAGTGGGTGGAGACACGGAAGGCTGTTGGGCCGTTCGGGCCCAGCCACATTGCGTCCGTAAAATTGATGCCGTCCGGACGCCCTGTTTCTATCAATTCCGGGCAAGGGCCATGTCACGGCCTCCCTAGCTCACCACATGGGCTCTTGGCAAGATAAAAAAAACATGGGCTCTTGGCGGCTCGCTTCGGCGGCGACAAGGTGAGAAGTGTTACCAAGCGGTGTGGACATCTGTTCACGAAGTGATCTCATCCATCACGTACAAGATTAGTAGATAGGATTAGATTATTAGTTTTACTTCCAAAAAGTATGTCGTTTGGGAACAGACGTGTCCCTTCGTGACACCCCTTCACTTGTATAAATATACTTCAGAGATCAATGAAAAAGATAGTTCTTCCAAATCTTATTCATTTGCATTCACACTTTTAACACGTTATCAGCACTTTGCTCTGCGAACAAGAAAAAGGAAAACCGGAGATTGTCGGTCTACATGCTAATCAAGAACAATAGGAACGTCCTTTCTCCCTGTACGATGTTGGATCAACCACGTTCTTCTTCATCACGTTGCTGTCCCGTACTGTGGCGAAAAGAAGCATTTGTTCTCATGAGTAAGCATCATGTGTATGATGAACTAGCTTCTTCATCAACCTTTTGCTTGGAAAGGCAGGAACTGGACACAACTCGCAAGATTAACAAGATCACAGAAACTCATCTCGGCAGTAAGGTATGCAACATGTGTTCGGTTTTGATGTTTACTTTGCGTATGGTATTTGACATCGCCATCCATCACACCATCGCCCATCGCGGCAATGGATGCAATGCCACGAGCCTGCGATCGGCATCGTCCTATGCCGCAGCCCCCACGGTCTCCATGCACCCCGCCCCGAGGCCAAGCAGATCTTATAGTAAATTACACAAGTACGATCCTATAGTAAATTCGTGCCAAGTCCAGATCTTGAACTCAGATGAGCAGGTTCTACCACAAAGAACCTAACCAACCACTACGGGATACACGGCCTGTTCGGGAGGTCGTATCGTATCGTGGATTATTTACTGCTGGCTGGTTTGGTGTGAGAGAAAAACACTGTTCCCGGCTGAAAATTTACGATCGTTTACGAGCAAGCGAACAGGCTGATAGTCGTTTCGTTGAGTGCTAAGGCACTCGGCAATGGCTCAAAAACACTCGGCAACTGCTTTGCCAAGTGTAACACTCAGCATACAACACACGATATCTTTTTGTCGGCAAATAGCTATTTGCCGAGTGCTTTTTGTGGGGCACTCGGCAAAGCCTTTGTCGAGTGCCGAAAAAGCACTCGGTAAAGATTTACACTCGGCAAAATGAAAATGCGAAAAAAATCCAAAAATAATAGCAAAATTTTTCAAAAAATTTTTTCGAGGGAGACCGCCACCGGCCAGCGCCCGCCCGTCTTCATCGAAGTCGGTGCATTTTTTGCGCTAAATCCGCGGCTAACGCGGCCGGCGGGATTTAAACTCACGACCTCTCCCTCGCGTGTCTGCTGCACTACAATGTCACTTGTGTCTAGATTCCGTTATCCATCATCATATATTATACTAAACCGAGAGTAAATTACTTGTTTGAGGCCCTAAATGAATTCAAAATCAAAAGTGGTCAACTACAAAGTTTCATAACTTTTCGAGATCTACAATTTTCATTTAGGAAGTTTTTCCATCCGAGGTCGTTTGAAAAATTCAAATTTCAAATTTGAGAGATTCAAACGTAGTTTTGCATGATAAGATGATTTCAAATCAAAAAGTTGTCAACTATATAGTTTCATAACTTTTGGAGATCTACAATTTTCATTTAGGAAGTTTTTCCATCTGAAGTCTTTTGAAAAATTCAAATTTTAAAATTTTAAAATTCAAACGTCGTTTTTGCATGACAAGATGATTTCAAATCAAAATGTTGCCAACTACAAAATTTCATAACTTCTCAAGATCTACAAAGTTTATTTTGGTCATTTGTTCATCCGACATAGTAGTAGTAACATTGTTCACAAATCTTATATATCTCTCTTCTACTTTCATGAAACTAATATGAGAGATATGAGAGATGTAGATTTTATGAACAACGTTATTGTCGCTTTGTCAAATGAAGAAATGACCAAAATAAACTTTGTAGATCTTGAGAAGTTATACAACTTTGTAGTTAAAAAGTTTTTCATTTGAATTCATTTAGGGCCTAAAAAATTGCTTTGAAAAATTGATTCGCCGAGGGCAAAAAAAAATGCACACGGCAAAAGGCACTCGGCAAAGACGCATTTTGTCGAGTGTTTTTTTTTTTTGCCGAGTGTATTTTATTTGGCACTCGGCAAAGACCGTCTTTGCCGAGTGCCCGATAGAATACACTCGGCAAAGTGCCGGTTTTCCGGTAGTGAACTGAGTTAGGCTCTTGACTTCATTTTTTTATCTTTAGTTTCCATTTTGTACCATTTGCGTAGTTTAAAAACTTCCTGATAGAAACTAGGCTATGTGCTTAATAGAGTTAGAAGCTATCACTTTTTCTAAAAAAATCCTAATGAGAGCGCTAAAATAGGTAAATCTTAAATTTCAAAAAAAAAAACAACCAGCCATTTGTTATGTGAACAATAATTTTTTTTGAGAATGTAAACCATAATCTTTACCGACGATAATAAGAATTAGATCTAAAATAACAATACCAGTATTTAAATAGATCAACTAATTAAATTTACAATAAAATTCTCCACCCCTATCATTATAAAAAGGCCTTAAAGTAACACCTGAAAATCTTCATATAAATTACCGAGGTAATGCAATGCACTACTGCACGAGGGTGGCGCCATATAGTTGGTCAACAGAATGGCACATTAATAAATTATTACTTCAATGGGCTCGAGTGCCAAAAGGCTCTCTGATGGATGCAGTTGTTTGTGTGCTTTGTCACTCATAGTCTACCTGTCGATGAACAAGTCAGGACGTGCAGTCATGGGTTAGTCAAGAGTGATCTGTGAGTCTCTGGTCAGCATATCAAATTATGTATGTATTAGCTTGCGCGGGCACTATACTAGTGGTTTTAAAAGGGGTTCGATGCTGGAACAGACATTACAAAACCAGTCACAAACCTTTCTTACTTCGCAAGTTGCCACTGACACCATCAAACGTTGAAAATGGACGGATGAAGATCAAGGATATGACGGTGTCATTTGTTGGCACATGCATATTTCAAAGCAAACAGCCTTTCTTACTATACAGTCGTCTTCCCCCAAACGTAGAGGTTTGACGACCGCCGGCGATGAAGAAAATTCGGCCAAGCCGTGTATATATATTTCGAGGTTACGTTGTTCGATGATAAGACAAGAGAAGATGTCGTTTGATGATATAGGCTGATTGAGATGTGCACATCATCACGTTGACCTGCAAGCTGGACTGAGCAGCGGTCCTGACGTTTCCAAAGCAATTCCTGTTCTGCGATTCTAGCTAGCTTCACCCACACCACTCTTCCCCTAGCTCGGTCATTCCTCGGTTCGCTTCACCAAGTCACCAAACCATGCCTCACCTTCTTCGCGTCGTCGTCCTTGTTGGACTCCTCTCCCTGCAGCAGCCGTCCTGCTCCGCCGCCACGGACACGGTGTCACCCGGCAACGGGCTCGCCGGCAGCAGCAGCAGGCTCGTCTCCAACAACAGCAAGTTCACGCTGGGCTTCTTCAAGCCGGACATCACGCCCTTCCACCACACCACCAGCAATCCCAACACGTACCTCGGCATATGGTTCAGCAAGGTCCCGAAGCTGACCCCACTCTGGAGCGCCAACGGCGACAGCCCCGTGGTCGACCCCGCCATACCCGAGCTCGCCATCTCCGGCGATGGCAACCTGGTCATCCTGGACCAGACCACCAACTCCGTCATCTGGTCCACCCGCGCGAACCCCACCACCAACGCCACCGTCGCCGTGCTGCTGAACGACGGCAACCTCGTCCTGCGGAGCTCCGTCAACTCGTCCGACGTCTTCTGGCAAAGCTTCGACTACCCGACGGACACCTTCTTCGCCGGCGCCAAGATCGGCTGGGACAAGGCGACCGGCCTGAACCGCCGCCTCGTGTCGAGGAAGAGCCTGGTCGACCAGCGTCCCGGCCTCTACACCCTAGGGTTCGACCGCGACGACGGCATCGGGCGGCTCGTGTGGAACTCCACCGTGGAGATCGTGTCCGCGGGGAAGTGGAACGGGCAGTACTTCAGCCTGGCGCCGGAGATGATTGGGCCGGTGCTGCCGGCGTTCACGTTCGTGAACAACGACCAGGAGGTGTACCTCACGTACACGCTGCGCGACGAGACGGCGATGGCGCTCACGCAGCTGGGCGTCGACGGCCAGGCCTTCGTGGGCGTGTGGATGGAGGAGCTGCAGGACTGGCTGGTGCACTACAGGCAGCCCGTGCACCTGTGCGACACCTACGCCACGTGTGGGCCTTTCACGGTCTGCGACGACACCGCCGACCCGATCTGCGGCTGCATGAAGGGTTTCTCTGTCAGCTCGTCCGTGGACTGGGAGCTCGGGGATAGGAGAGACGGGTGCGTCAGGAACACTCCGTTAGACGACGTCTGTGGAAGCGGCGGCGGCGGCAGCAAGACGGCGGCGGCTCCCACGGATAGGTTCTACGCCGTGCAACGCGTCAGGTTGCCCCATGGCGCGGAGACAGTGCAGGCTACGACGAGCGGAGACGATTGCTCACAGGTCTGCCTAGGCAACTGCTCCTGCACTGCGTATTCCTATGGGACGGGAGGCTGCTCTGTCTGGCATGGCAAGTTGACCAACGTGAAGCAGCAACAGTCTGACGGTTCAGATGATGGAAATGGGGAGATGCTTTACGTCCGCCTCGCTGCAAAAGACGTGCCAAGTGCGGCGAGGAAGAAGAAGAATAGTGGAATCTCCATTGGTGCAAGCGCTGCAGTCTTCGGGCTCATGGTGCTTGCTCTGATGATGATGGTCTGGAGGAGGAAAGGGCAGTGGTTTTCTTGCAGTCGCACGCCGGGAAATGCTCGAGGTGGCGGCATTGGGGTAATTGCATTTCGATACGCCGATTTGCAGCGCGCGACTAAAAACTTCTCTGAAAAGTTAGGGGGAGGCGGTTTCGGCTCCGTGTTCAAGGGGTACCTGGGTGACTCTTTCACCATGGTGGCAGTGAAGAGGCTCGACGGCAACCATCAAGGAGAGAAGCAGTTCAGGGCAGAAGTGAGCTCGATCGGAATCATCCAGCATATCAATCTAGTCAAACTGATCGGGTTCTGCTGCGAAGGCGATAAGAGGCTACTCGTGTATGAATACATGCCAAAGCACTCCCTTGATGTTCTTCTGTTCAAAAAGGCCAGTAGTGATACAGTCTTGGATTGGAGCCTCAGGTACCAAATAGCCGTTGGAGTAGCCAGAGGCCTAGCCTACTTGCACACTGGTTGCCGGGACTGCATCATACACTGTGACATCAAGCCAGAGAACATACTCCTCGACGCGGCGTTCGTGCCTAAGATTGCGGATTTTGGGATGGCAAAGGTGTTGGGAAGAGAATTTAGCCATGCGATAACTACGATGCGAGGAACCATCGGATACCTTGCACCTGAATGGATTGGCGGAGAAGCTGTCACATCAAAAGTAGATGTTTACAGCTACGGGATGGTCTTGTTTGAGCTGATATCCGGGAGGAGGAACTCAAGCCAAGTGTACCTCAAGGATGGCGACTTTTCAGAATTTTTCCCTCTGAAAGTTGCACGCAGGCTTCATCAGAGTGGAGAGACGATTGGAAGCCTGGTGGATGAGAATTTGCATGGCGAGGCCAATCTTGAGGAGGTTGAAAGAATTTGCAAGGTTGCGTGCTGGTGCATTCAGGAAAGCGAGCTTGATCGGCCGGCCATGGCCGAGGTGGTGCAGTTTCTTGAGGGTCTTTCTAAGGTCGACATGCCTCCGGTCCCAAGACTGCTCAATACTATCGCGGGAGGGTCGCCGGCGCCGGTGTACTATCTCGATTCAGGAGAACTTGTCGTTTCAGACAAGCAAAGTGAATAGCAAGCAAATCAGTTGCCTGGAGGTAGTAACATTTAGTTGCATGCATGCACCTCAAACATGTTATTATGAAAACTTTCAGCGATTCATGAGAAGATCGTGGTTTGTATCCTATCTATCTATACTTAATATTAAAGAGACAAAATTTCTCTCCATCTATTTTTTTTTAATTTGTCCACCTCTCCCTAACTACTCGGACAATAGAGTCCTCCGTGTCTCATATGTCCGGGTGCACATATGATCCATGCTCATACGAGTTAGAACAACTAGCGTCTAGCGATGATAGATACGAAATCCGATTTCAAAACACACTCGCTCACGCCATCTATATCTCGTATGTGACCCGGATTCATGAGTTATGTTTATACGAGTTAGAACATCTTGCATTTACCAATAATACAGTCTGATTCCAATATGAATTGAGTTATGTTGCAAATAAAGTTGTCATTTGTAATATGCTACATCTCTCTTCAACCGAGAGGATACTGTCTTATAGAAAACAAATATGCAAGGTGCTTGTAACTTTTGGTACCCAACCAGGAGGGACCTATCTTTGCTATTTTTTTTTTGAAGAGCCATCGATAGCAGTATGTCGGGCATATATTAATAGAGAAGAAGAAATTACAAAAAAAACTACAACCTCACGACGGAGGCAACAACAGAACCACTACTGCAAGAAACACAAAAAACTCATGATCCTCAGAAGCAATAGCTATCAAACAACACTCTGAACGCCACCGGCACAAGCGAAGTAAACTAGTCGGGGGAGTAGGTTTCCACAGCGATACCTCCAAGAAGGGTAACGACGTCTGTCGATGCTGACAACAACCCAGTCTTTTCAACCAAACTCCTATATGGTGGGGGGGCTCTCACGACACTACTATCTTTGCTAATTAATTTTGTTGGTGATATATTTCTCTCTTTTTGTCTTTGTTGATGAAGTAGTGGCTGGCAGGAGCTGTGTGCTGTACAGCGTGTATTAATCATTGTTCGTCCAAAGAGTTGTTTAGCACATTTAGATATCGTTTAAACTCTATACGATGATGCGTCGTTTCCATTTAAATGGTTATTTATTCCACTTGATTGACTATTTCGCTCGTGCAGTATGTCCATTAGCCTAAATAATGGCTAGACGACTGGTGAACGATTGTTTTTATTTAATAAACACTAGTCTTAATAAAGAAGAAGATCACAACAATTCAGAACAAACAAAGAAAAAAAAAGGCTTTGGTGGCAGGAGGGAGTGAAGAGGAGAGAGAACATAGCATTACTGTAGAGGTTCAGTACAATTCCATTTATAGCCGAAAATTTAGCAAAGGGACGGATGAAAACCTAAAGCTTGCTAATAGTATCTCCAAGAAAGTTAGCATCCGGCTCGCTATTGTTTTTTTAGCCAACGCGCAAGAAAACTGACCTCCAACAGATTAGTCAATGCCATCGTCATTCCATTTGATGTGCTATCCCCCGAGGGTTAGAAGAAGCCAAATTTGACCGGCCGGTTAGCTTGTGTGATACTGCTAGTACCATGTTTGCGTTTCTCTAAGAGCATCTTCAAGAGATGTGCTAATCCTATTTTGAAGTCTATTTTAGAGTTTAGATGGTAAAAATGAAGCTTCAACAGGTATTGTATCCCAGTTTCTAAATCGGCAAGCGAGCTATTCCACCCTTTCGGGTAGCCATAAAAAGCTAGCCAGGGTCGCTCGCCATTCTCCAATTCCTGCACGCGCGAGCTCCGTTTTCCGTGCATGCGCAAGCTTCGTCCGCATGATTGGGTATCTAGATAGGCATGCAAGCAACGGCAGCCACGGGAGATCCCTCTGTCGCCTCTCCGGCGGGGCCGGGGGAGGAAGTGGTGGTCGGCGGAGCTTCGGGCGACGGAGCTGCTGGGTACAGTGGAAGCCCAACCCCTCGGCGACCTCTGGAGGACCGCTCAGGCTGATTGGGGGCGCTCGGGGCGGGACCCGCGCTCCGCCTCGGGGACCCTTCCGCCGTCTGTCCGGCGGGGCCGGGGGTGTAGGTGGCCGACGGAGCTCCTGGAGAAGAAGCTGCTGGTGCCGGTCGGAGCGCTCGTCCTCTCGGCGACAGCTGGAGGGCCACGCCCAGTCAGTGGCCACCGGCCACGTCTCGAAAGGGCGAGTAGCTCCAAATCTCCGACGAGGTGAGGCATTGCGAGTCTTGCGTAGGCGTCAGGAAGGTGCGTGCTCTGTCTTCGTAGGAAGCAGCTGAAACGAGCGATAGGGCGGTGCGGCGACGACAGACCGCTTGGACGGACGCACGGCTCCTGCTCGATGAATTGCATCTGCAGGAGAACTTGATTCCCAGGTACGTCTGCTTGTTGCATAAGTTCTAGTTTGTGAAGTAACTGAAGTTTTAGAAGTTTGGGGAAAGTTTAGCCGCCTGCTTGTACACTGCTTAGGAGCTAAGTCTGCTAAGCTCTGTATGATAATGGCTGAGCAAACAGGGCCAAAGCGTAGCTTAATGATGCCAGGGAGCCTTAAAAGGCGACACGCTGCGCCCTATCTTACGACTTCAGAGCCGCTAGTCGGAGCAGAAAGGTCGTGGAGGGGGTCGAGATTCTGGGCACTTCACGACGATGGCAATGAGGATAGTGATGACGATGGCACCAAACAGGAGGATGGGGATCCTGACGAAGAATCATACAATTCTGAAAAGGAGTTCATGCGAGGTGCAACATGGGCTGGATTCTCCTTAGATGATTTGATAAGAGCTGAGACTCTGTTAACATAGAATTTTCACTCTCCAAAATTTGCTTCAATGGATAGGGGGGCAGGGCATGCTAGCCACCCTCGGCCGCTGGCATCTAGAATTACGGAGGCGGTGGCCGAGTTACGTTTCCAGAGGACCGAGAAACCGTGGAGGGGACCGCTGCCTAAACCACAGTCCCCACATAATCGGCAAATTGGATATATAATGGTCAATGATCTAAGGCTATCCAGCTCATCTAAAACAACAAAATCTTTGAGAGATTTGTGCTCGGAGAGGGGCAGATGCATTAATTCTAGTTTAGAGAAAAGGGAAGGAGGGAGACAGGATCGGTCTCTGTGCAGGGACGGTCATTGGGCCGTCCAAAGGCATGTGGGTTGTAAACGTTTGCTGCTGGCAAGATAATTAAAGTGGGCTCACACCCAGCCTTTAAGCCAACACAGGGATTAAACCTCATGTTTAATGCCAGGGGGTCCCCGAGGAGTCTGGGGGCGAGAGGGGAGGACTTAAGCGTTTCGGCTCGGGCTCGGAGGGTTGATCCACACCCTAGCCAAAAAATCTCGTCAGTGGGAGCGCTAGTCTGCGGGCGTAAGGTTGAGCGGGTGACCGAGCCGAAGAAGATGGCTGGCAACCATGGTGCGCGTGATAGAGGTGAAAGGGTGAGCGCAGGTGCATATGGACCTTATCGTCGTGATCGGGGTGCGGTAGGCGCGGGGCGAAGCTGGGGCAGACAGGAGAGTTGGGCATGGAGGGGTGGTGCTCCCCAGGGTGATTTCAAAGGAGCACGCTCCTGTAGATTCGGAGGTTTTGGTAGGGGGTGCCCTGGGCAGTTCTCTCCACCGGGTGGAGCTGGGAGAGGCGGGCTTATGGAGCCAGCGTCTGGGCGATGGGTATGGCAAGAAGACAGGCGGCAACCACAGTTGTAGGAAAAGGGAAACAGTGCAGGCGAGCCTTCTGAAGCCGATGGTGATGTTTCTGGGCTGGGGTCTGACATTGACCTTGGTATGTCAGTTGAGGTTGGTGGTAGCAGGGATGGAGGGGATGCTGTCAAGGTGGGTGGACGTTGTTCTAGGTGTTCAAAGAAGGGGCACCAGGCGGTGGCTTGCAAGGCGGAGGTGTATTGTGTGATATGCAGATTGCTACAAAAAGGAAACCAAACATAACAAAAATGAAGTCGACGTTAGCTCAACTAGTTGGGTGTGACGTGTGGTCATACACCGAACCAGATTCAAATCCTCTCTCCTCTCTCACCGTTAGCTCAACTATATGCGGAACACAATCGAACTTTTTTTTAATTTGATATTATATATCGACCTTTTTTTTTGGATTGGAGAAAAGCAGACACAATCGTTTGAATGCATTTCATCAAAAAAAAAATCGTTTGAATGCACTCGGTCGGACGTATTTGATGGGAACCTGGCCCATTTAGCAGATCCGATCCGGCCCTAGGAGAATTAGACACCTATGAGGATTGTTGACTGGCCCAAGAAGCTCACCTACGCTAATGACTTATGGCCCGGCCCGCCGCTGCCTTGCCGTGCTGGGCTGGGCGCCGTTGTGAGTTGTGACAGACCGGAGCCTGTGTTTTTGCTGTGTCCTGGACGCGGAACTGCTGGAGTTGCTGTAGTACACGTTGGTCCGAGGCAAAATTCGGATAGTCAAACCTTTGACTTATGGTAATCAAATCAGTGCAGGAGAGCGGAAGTGACTTGAAAAATGTTTCCAGTTCCAAAGTGACTCGTAATCAGTGTGCTCCTAGTGGTAATTATTCATGCAAGAACATGTACGTATAGGAGTATAGGAGTACGCGGGATGGAGTACGCGGTTTAGAAGGCTGTGTTCGGCTGCTCGTAAAGCCGCTTGTGCTGATATGTACGGCTGATTTATTGAGAAGAAAAAATAATATCATTGCTTATAAGCCCCTTCAGCTTTGGTCCCGTCTCCGTTGCGTGTCGATCTGGTGCGGTGGACTGGTGGCTTCACTTCACCCACCTCCAATCTCTCGTCAGGGTCGAAGAAGGACGCCAATGCAAATGGGTCCTGAGCACTGAGGGGAGGTGCACCAGGATTCACGTACGATTCGATTCGTTTGCGGGTTGCGTGCGTGGTCGTCGCGCGACAGGCCAGGAGGCGGGGAGAAGCCGAGGCTGCACGACGCGCGCGTGCATGCATGCGCCGTTGCGGCGGAGGTCACCGGTGACGACGTGCCGCCACCGTTCGGTTGCCATCGTTTCCAAGACAAGAGGCCGAGAGAGCACGCACAGTGCTCCGCTGTACTC